TGTCAAAAGATTAACTGCGATTAATCGCATCCAAAATAAGTTTTTGTTTACATAATATATGTGTGTGTACTGTGTATATTTATTATGTAGCCTATATATAAATACACACCCATGCATGTATATATTTAATAAAAGTATGTTACGTTTATATATTAAATATATTTATATATAACATAAATTATATGACTATAAATATGTACATGTCAATGTAAATATTTTCAAAATATATAAAAAAACTTTGGATACGATTAATCGCGGTTAATCGTTTGACAGCACTATATGTATATATATATATATATGTATATATTCATTTTATTCAAAATATATTGTTAAATATTTAAAAACTTTTAACAAATATTTTGTACACTCAAAATATATAAGGAATATATTTAAGGAAATAAGGAAAATATTTTTACTGTTTACTTACTGGTTAGAACACGACATTTTCAAGTTTCGTAATTAAATGTTTAGTTTTCTTGAAAATATTTTTTTTAATCTTATGAAACCAAGATGAATACAAAGAGATAAAGATATTACATAAGATATAATGCAGTATTGCATCTTCAGGTGCTTTATTGCTTCTATAAAAGGTTGCTACGCAATAAAAAATGTTTTATTAGGACACATTTTCAAATAAATACATTTTTTAAATCATTTGTCCAAAAGAAAAATCAAAACGTTGGAGGTAGCTTAATGGTTAAGCAACTAGTTATCTAACACAGATTGCAGGAAAATCCCAAGACAGGGTGACTCAGGTGTGGAGTGTTACAAAGATCACAATACTGCTCAGTTATAATTATGCCCTTGGGTAAACTCCAGGTTTTCAGCATGCTGTAAATCATGGTACATGAAAAGTGTTGTATAAAATGCATAAAAATCTTTAAATGCCTGTAAAACTTCTTTCATCTTTTTTTTTTATTTTGAAACAATTAAATTAGTGCCATCCAATGAAGTGTGTCAGGCTAGAGAAATATGGGTTTGGTTTTCTTTATCCAGATGGCTCTGTCCTGGGGCAAGCAGACACACTTCTGCAAAAGCGCTTCCATGACTTGGGCCAGAGCACAGACGCCTTCAGCTCTGTTCAGTACGTGGGCACCCAAACCATCACTCCCCCCACAGACTACTCACAGTTACTGCAGATTGTCAATCAGCAGGTGAACAACACATCCCAGCGAGCCCCGCGCCAGCCTGCCATTGTGTTCAGTGCATTGCAGGTAAAGAGCGCCTCAAACATTTCTTTGTGTGTGTTTAAAGCGACCCTAAAAAGAATTTAGACACTAAAAGCTTTCATATGTGGTTTGATATTTTGTATCTAATTCAATTACAGTAAATTCATGTATTTAAAGGAGTAGTTCAATCAAAAAATGATAATGTCATAATCACAAAAGAGGAAGTTTAGCAGAATGTTCACAATGCTCTTTTCCATACATTGAAAGTAAAGGGTGACCAGGGAATTTCAAGTTCCAAAAGGGACTAAAAGCAACATAAAAGTGGTTCATTTGACTCTGTACCTTTAAAAATACATTACATTCACAACCGTTCAAAAGTTTGGGGTTAAAATTATTATTATTATTTTTTTTTTTTTTTACATTTAAATGTAAAAATGTATTACATTACATTACATTTATTCACTTCTAAGATTGCATTAAATTTATCAACTTTAAAATAGGAACAAAATGGTGGCTTTTAAGATTTCTATTTTAAATAAATCCTATTCTTTCGAACTTTCTATTGAAATGAAAAAATGCATCAGTTTCCACAATAATATTAAGCAGCATGATTGTTTTCAACATTGATAATAACAAAAAAATGTTTCTTGAGCACCAAGTTCATAGTTAATTAAAAGTAAAACCATGAAATAATTATTGTTACTTGAAATAAAATTAATTTTAACTGAAATAAAATAAAATAAAATATAAAAAATCGTAAACTTCTTTTATTTCAACATTTTGCCAAGCCAACGATTCTCATTTTCATTAAGCTTATCTTAACCTACAATAACTATACTAAGGTAAAAAAGTAAAACTTTAAATTTAAAATGAAAACAAAATATAAAAATAAAAACTAGTGCGGTCAAACGATTAATCACGATTTATCGCATCCAAAATAAAAGTTTTTGTTTACGTAACATATATGAGTGTACTGTTTATATTTATTATGTCTATATAAACACACACACATGCATGTATATATTTAAGAAAAAAGTGTTGTTTATATTTTTCAAATATTTTTATATAATATAAATTATATGAATATAAATATATACATTTAAATATTTTCTAAATATATAATGTATGTGTGTGTATTTATATGTACATAATGAATATACACAGTACACACACATATATTATGTAAACAAATATGTTTATTTTGGATACGATTAATCGCGAATGAATCATTTGACAGCACTAATGAACACTAATTCAAAATATTAATAAAAATCACCAAATCAGCATATTAAAATGATGTTTAAAGGATCATGTGACACTAAAGCCTGGTGTAATGGTTGCTAAAAATTCAGCTTTTCAATCACAGGAATAAATTATATTTTAAAATATATTAAAATAGAAAAATAATTGAAATTGAAATAATATTTTACAATATTACTGTTTCTACCATATATAAAATCAAATAAATTCAGCCTCGGTGAACATGGTGAATTCTTTCAAAGACATCTTACCAATCTTACCGTGTCCTAAACTACTTTTTGGGGTCAGTGTATGCATGTATGTGTTCACCTTTGTCAACTGAGCATGTTTCTGAAAACACGCTTCACTGGACTTCACTGCTCTGCTCTCTCTCAGGCCTTGAGCAACAGATTCTGTGGCGAGATCTCAGATGACAAAATCAGCATATGCTCCTTTTTTCCTGATGAATATTTCACTTGCCCATCAGTCTGTCTCAGCTGCAAGTAAGTCCACACATGCTCCGAGCTGTAGATTGAATGCTGTTTTTGTTTTTTTTACATACAGGTTGTGTTGAATGCACTGATGCATTGTGTTTGATGCATAATAAATCAAGAAAATTGCTGCATTGTCACACATCAGACTCTAATTTCATCACATCAACACTGAGCCACTTCATAATTTGATGATTTGCAGTTATAAAAAACTAGGATATCTATTCAGCATGCAAAACTAATATATGGAAATGAGTTGCACATGAATGTAATTAGATCGTTTGTTGAGTCGTTTGTTATTGTTTTAGCTTGTTCGTGACTTAATAGAGCAGTACTCTTCAAGAGTACTTAAGAACTAGCGAATCATAACTAACCTCTCCAAAATTCCATGGCTTTAGTGTTCGGTGTAAGAATGGCATGAACCACCAGAAAGACGGGGTCTCACACATGGCCGATGGATTATGCCAGTATGCCCACCAATACAACAATAAAGTTCTCATTTGTAAGGTAAGAACTCACTGTCATGGCTAGTTCCCTTTCGAGGGAACTTCGAACTGCATCCTCTAGAGGTCGCTATGGGGGGACACCTTCAGTGTGACCGGTGTCTGAAGCATATATCTAAAAACGACAATAACATTGGCCGGCGACAGCCTATGACGTCATTACCCTGCGCGATCACAGTATAAAAGGGCGCCTGGATAACATGTCATCCTCTTCTTCGTCTTCACTGACCGTTTGTTTATGTTAGCGTTAAGCTAAACACGACTAGGAGTGCATGTTTCTCGCCAGAGGCTTTGCTCTGATACCTGCAGTTTCACACGGCTCGCCTGCTGTGTGTGTGTGGTGAAGAGCAAGCGCGTTCAGCTCTCGAGGGAGTTGGATGCGCTCTGCATTCATTGCTTATTTCTTGTGAAGGATAAGCATGAATTGAACGCACTCGTCTCACGAGGAGGCAGCTTGTGCACATCGTGATGCATTCGCGGGACTACTGAGGGGGATGTGAGCATTTCACCATTTACCCGAGTTTGTAGATAGCGTTTGCATGAGTTCGTTCGCCTCTCGCGGGAATAGCAATGCATTCGCGGCAGCGGTTTTCGTTCTCGCTTGATTTCCGAGGTAATCTAGCCATTGGGGCGGAGCGTGTTTAGCTCCCGTGGGAGCTGAATGCATGCTGCGTGTTGCGGTCGCGGTGAGAACATGGAAAGGACCTGATGGGAAATTTCTCCCTATCAGTAATTTCCTTTTGTTTATATAGGAAATGTATAGTGTGGATCTGTCTGCAGTTATTGGACAGATGGTTTATATCATGTCCTTCTCAGATAACCACATTATACTGCACTCCGGCTTGAGTTAAAAAAAAAAAGAGCCTTTCATTCCTTCCCAATCTTCATTTGGAGATCGAGGAGGTTTGGAAAAATCCATTCTCGTCCCACATCCACAGATTCCAGCATACTAGTTATGCCAACATCAAGGGGATGCATGAGAATGGTTATGAGAAGATGCCGCCTGTTGAAGAGATGCTGGCCTGTTATCTCTCCATGGGGGAGACATCTTCTCTTAAGGCTCCCTCCCTGCCATCCAAACCTGTTTGAATGGTAGGGCATACGCGGCAGCAGGTCAGGCTGCAGTCTCGTTGCACACCATGGTGGTGCTTCAGGCTTTTCAGGCTGATCTGCTGAAAGACCTGGATAAAAGCTGGGTCTATCCCATGATGAGGTGGCTGAGTTGCATCGCACCACAGATCTTGCTCTCCGTGCCGCTAAGCAGGCCGCCACTGCCATTGGCAGATCCAAAATGTGGCAGCCATGGTGGTTATGAAGAGACATCTGTGGGTGAGTCTGGTGGTTATCGGGTCGAAAGAGAAGGGCTTTCTTCTTGATGCGCCGGTTTCCCCTTCTGAGCTTTTCGGCACTTCCATCGAGACGGTGGTCGTGAGGTTTAAGAAGGCCAAGACGTGCTCGGCTGCCTTTAAATCCTTCATTCCACGAGGGTCCAGGCTTCAGACTTCACCTCCAGCCTATATCATGAGCCTGAGTCGTGCGCGGGAGCCATGGTTGGTGAGTACGATCCATTTTTATCTACTCTACTGCTAGTTCTTGTGTATTTGATGCTAGCCTTTCTCTGCAGCGCTACTCGGACCTGTTCTGTTTTTCTGACTTTAGGTTTGACCAACCTGCTAAGTCAGGACCTCCTGCTGTTGACCGATTAGAGTGATGGTTTCACTCA